ATCGATTATGAAAGTTATTTCATATCTGAGTATTCCATTACAAAGCTTCATTCACAAATAAAATAGACAAAATTACCCAGAGCGTACGCACGTCAACAAGCTTCGTCTTTTCCAGTAGTTCGTCCAATGAAATAACCTTAGCGATTTCGCAGCTCCCTCCATCCACCTCCAGGCTGAATCACCTTCAGATTTCAAATGCTTCCACCTGAGTTCTTCCAAACATCACCTCCTGTAAGTATCCGACCTTAACTTGCTTTAGTTGCTCGTTTTATTGTGCCTTAAGTATTTTCTGCTTTTTCTCCTTCTTCATTGTCAATTTCTAATTCTTTTCTTAGTTTGTATTGCTGCTATGAACTAAAATCACAACTTCGACAAAATATCATTAAAAATATGTGAAGAATCAGAGAGTTGGATGACATTTGGTATGCATATAAGTTATAAGAGGTTCTTTTTACTGCAATGTTACTGTAAAGCTTTTTTTTTTTTTTTTTGAGTCTCTGAAATATGTTGAAATTTGCCCGAAATGAATGATGCGGTAGAAACCGATACTCAATCAGGATTTTAGATAAAAAATAGATTTTCGAATGATTATTAACCTATTTTCTTGCCGTGTTTATATAGTATAGCAAATTGTTCTAATGAGTTGTAAATTACTATAATGTTGAATTGACTGACGCACACTCTTTTTATCCAGTTTTGTTTTTACTACCTGTAATCTCTATGCATAAATTTTATCAGTTGTTTTGCATTTACGTTCTATTGAAGATCACCAAATGATATTTCACTTGTGTTTACGTTCTATTGAAGGAGATCGAGAAGAGATTATTACGTGCATTTATCGGACCGTCAGAGGTAAATCAAGACGCGCCGCGTAACCCGATTTGCAATGGTATACAGTAACGTTACACAACATATTGATAATGTTGCATGTCCTGATTGACCTATAGACTGAGTCGGATGACCGCACGTAATAATTCCGCCTATAGATATCATATCAGATAGCTTTAGTTTTGATTCCCCTGCTTTTATAGTCTTTGATAACTGGATATGGCTCCTTACCTTTGGTAATTGAACTCCATTTTGAGAGCCTTTGTTACAACCTAATGATGGAATTTTCATTTCACATGTCACACTGTACATTAATGATCATACTTTATTATTTTGTGTTTGTTAGTACAAATTTGTTCATATTTTTCTCCAACATAAACCAGATTTCGACATCATCCTAACAAAAAAATTCAACTGAAATGATGAGGCGAAGAATCAAAGTAAAAAAAATTATTTGATTACTAAAATTCACCCTAACAAAAGAAATTAGACTAATATAATATTGAAATTATTAAAAATCATTTTGCTAAGAACTACTTTGATTTTCCAACATAAATTTATTTGTCTAACTCAAGATGAGTTATTTTTAATGGAAAAAATAGTAACAAAATAATGTAAATATAATAGATAATTAATATAATTTAAATTTTAATTATAATTGTATTAAGTATTATACCCGTAAGTTAAGATATTATAAGTTAATAATATAAACTTTTGATATTTTAAGTTTCTAATAAAAAAAAAATTTTTAAGCATGTCAAATATAAGCATATTTATGTAAATTTTACTTTTTAAAATAATTAATATGTCGTTATATATTTTAATTTTAGAGATTGATAATTTAGTCTTTTATTATAAAATCGCTAAAGCTGAAAACTTAAATACATTGAAATTTCTCTTAAATTTATTTTGCTTGAATTTGAATAAAACATGAAATTATTCATGATAAATTTGGTAATGATATACTGAAAATTCTCTTAAATTTATCTTGCTCGACTTCGAACAAAACTTAAAATTATCGATGACCCATTTGGAAATAATATCATGTATTTTCTCTTTGACTTATCTTGTTTGAAGTTGAATAAAAGCTAAAATGTGGAATCCCACATAACTAAATTGGAGTGAGATAAGGCAATCAAAATAACAATATAGAACAGATAAACTCCAACCAATGTAGCAGAGCAAAAAGGGAGTGGGGAAAACCAAAAATAGAACAAAACAACCCAATAGCTCCTATATAAGCAGCAAAGCAGAAATTAGCTGCTCCCTTTACCTTCTTACATAATAAATGAGCTCCAGCCTCCATGTGGGGGTGTAACCCAGTCTAGTCAAGTCGAGTATTGGAACCATCGTGCTCGGCTCGTCAGTCAAAAAGCCGACTCGAACTCGGGCTGTAGCTCGAGTTGAGCTCAAAAGACAAGTTTGAACTCAAGCTCGTCCCACTATATACAAGCTCGATCAGGCTCGCGAAATACTAATATGTATTCAAATGTATGTGCTTGAAAATTATAAATAAATATTCATATTTTAAAAAAGTATTTAATATAATTTATAATCATATTGATTCATTTTTAAAATGAGAGAATTTATTTAGTAATTAGGGAGAACATATTTTATATCATTAATTGAATTTTAAGTGGTCATTCTAAGTTGTTTTTTTCGTTTATTTAAATTTTTTATTATGTTTATATGAAAAAATAATTTACTCGTCAATATGTAAGACAAAAAAATTCACATATTTTAAATTTTAATGTGTTTAAATTTAAAAATCATTTATTCGTTAAAATATGAATACAAATAAGGAAACATTAATTAAAAAAAAATTTTGATGCGGAGCATTTTAGCTATAGTCTTCCTTAGGATTAGTATATCTAGTTTTATACTTGTTTCTAGATGATTCTCATGTTGGCTTATATATAGAAGGTTGTAGTAGGAAACAACATCAATGAATATTATCTCTCATTTTGAAGCTTAAGCTTTGTGTATTTGTGTGTTTATTCCCTGGATTGGGAAAACACTCAAGCAGTGTCCGTTTCCCTGTCGATCCACTGCATCAATTTTATACTCATCTGAAAATAAATATAATAATTTCACGACGGATTTGAACAAAAATTTTCTTCGGATTCTCGCTTATATGTTAATCTGTTGCTGAATTCCCTTTTTTTTTTTAAACGCACACATTGCTCAAAGTATTTCTTCTCCTTTCTGCTTTGTAGATCTATATTCCTGTTATAATAAATTTCAATTGATGAGCATAAGGGGGTGTTTGGTATCGGATTTGTCTTCACTTTTAAGGAGGATTTAACCTAAATCCAGTCAAACACCTTTTCGCGCGCATAAATCCAGCGACTCCCTTAATTCGGTTAAATCCTAATCCCATCATTTCTCGTATTTAACAAGATTGATGGGATTTGGCCGGAGAAGAGCGCGAAAGGGAGAAAGTTACCTTCAAATCCAGCGAGCTCTTGTTTTTGAATCCGATCAAAATGTCGCAAGTTCCGATCCGACAGGAAGGGAAAGTCGACGAAGGAGCGAATTCGAACAACCACGAAGGACGAAGGAGCCAAAGAAGCCACGCGTGCAATATATATACCTCTTGCGAAGCAACGAAGCTGAACAACAACTACGAAAAGAGAAGATGAAAGACAAACCCGACACGCCTCTGAAGTTATTACTGCTTAACTTAATTAATATAAGTTAAAATAGTAATAATTATGATACGTCATCACAAATTTATCTTGATCGGGCACGAATCTCAAGGCAAAAAGTTAATTGGAAACTTCAAAGAATAAATTCAGGAGCATCTGAACTCCAATTTCATCTAGCTTATAGTCAAACTAAGCGTCTCGGAAACACAAACCCAATGACACCAAATTCAACCCAATCCGAGCCCAAAGGGGTCCAAATCAAGGATCGAAGCGCTGTTAGAAGGTTCAAACCATATTTTGAGTTACCAAACAGTCTCCGATTTTAAAGAGCTTATACTCGAATCGAACGGCTCAACGAGACGAATCCAACGAGCCCAAGTTCGCCGAATTCCGACATCACTAAGGCCTTCAATTGTCTAACGAATGGTGCACGATCAAATGGTTCAATATCGGCCGTCCATTCGACCACTCCCTATTCGCCCATGATCTCACACCTATTTACAAGTCATGCCACTCCAGAAAAACTATAAATAGAGCCCTCATTCTTCACAAGAGGACTCAAGTGAGAAGAGAGAGAAGAAGAGAAGAGAAGAAGGGGAAAGGGATAATCATCTCCTCCTCGACCACCGCCGGAGTTCTTTCTGCCGCCTGAATATGCCGGAATTATGTCAGATTTTTGGGAGACATCGGAATTCTGCAAAACATTTTAACTTTGTTTCAATTTAGAAGAAACTGATTGTAATTTGATCGTTCCGACTTGTGGGACGAATAAACCTTTGTACTTCAAACGAACACTAGTGGAATTACTTCAACTGGGCGTGACCCCGTGGTTTTTTCTCTCTTCCGGGTTTTCCACGTAAAAATCCTTGTGTTTATTTTATCTTCTGTTTGTGTGTGCTGAATATTCGTACAACGCTCAGACGTAAAATTACAAATTCTACCGCCGCGTATATTCTAGCCCGCAGCAAATTGAATAAATTAATAGTATACTTAGTGCATAAAATATTTATCTAATTAAACTTAATTGAAAAAGTAATGATATATTAATAATTAAATATAATATCATTAGCTTAATTAATATAGCTTAAAAATTATTACTAAATATATAATTAATAGTGTATTTAAAATTAATAAGTAATTTGAACTTAAAAATCTTGATAATCATATAATTTAAATCTCTAACTATCATAAATCCTGAAATATATTGTTAAACTGCTTAAACATCTTCTTAGAATTTAACAGAATTTAACATTTATCTTATCAAATACTTTTCAGAATTTATCAACCTAAATTTACTAATTCTGAATTTACAGGATTTACTAAATTCTATTAAAGTTGAATCTAAGCCGATAACAAACACCCCTTAAAGATCAATCATCTCACTGTAAAATCCATCTCCCTAATAATCTCCCCTTCATCTATCCTCCTTTCTCCGAGCTTATCAGCAGAAGAACCTCTTTCCATGGCTTCCTCCGGCGCCGCCTTCCTGAATCGAGCATATATGTCTCCCTTGTAAAACTTCCTCGTCCTTACCGCCAATACCAACGAAACAGTCGCCCCAATCACCGTCGCCGCTGTAATAATCAGAAATGATAACTGAAAACATTTCACGCCAACGCAAGCCACCTCCTTTCCGCCGCCGCCGCCGCTCTGCCTCTCCGCCTCCCTGTCATATAAATATCCCGCCACTCTCACATTCAGTATATAAGACCCAATCGGGCTCGCCACGCCGCCAAAATTGTAAAGCGTGGAGTAATACTTCAACCCAAACAATTCCGAAATTATCGCAAAGAGTAATGGCCACTGCGCTCCGAAACAGAATCCGATAATCACCGACGCGATGTAGAGCGAATTGGGCACGCCGAAGGCGATGAGGAGATGGCCGGAGCAAGCCAGAAGGAGAACGACAGTGAGCACTAGAGGTCGCGGGAATTTGTATTTGGTTAAGAGGATTTCTGAGATGAAACCGGCGGCGACTCTGCCCATAGCGTTCCAGATACTGATGAGGGAGACGAAGGTGTTGATGCTGCGAGAAGGGTAGCCTAATGACTCGCCAATTTGACCCATGTTGTCGATAGCCGTTAAGGTGCCGCCGACGCCGCAGATTGTTGAGAAGAAAAGGATTAGCATGTCGATGCTGAATAAAGCTTGGAGGATGGAGTAGTCCTCACCCCTCGCCGGCGGCCTGAAAATTTCGATTATATGGGAGATGATTTTGTGTTCTGCTATGATCTTGGTTTCTTCTTCCCCGGACGAGGCGCCATCGATGCTCTTCTGGTCTGTTATGGTCTTTCTCTGATTGGCTTCTTCCTCACAGGACGCTGCAAGAAAACAGTTTTGAGATGTAAGTGTAATATAAATTTTAATTATTTTTTTTACATGTCAGACTTATTTTAAAATAAATCCAATAATTTAAAAATTCATTGTAATCTAAAATTTCTCACCTTAAAACCAACAACTTTAGCAGATTTTTAGCCACCAATGATTTTTAAATTTCTGACAATTATTCCTGGCAATAAATTTCCTTACAAAAATATCTATTATTATTTTTTTAAAATTGGAGTAATAAATAAAAATTATAATAGAATCTTTAATCCTCTCATTAACTAAAAGAAAAATAAAATGCAGCTCATCTTGATCTTTGAATTCAAAGATCTCATCCGTAATTTGTGTGTGAATTTGACTTAAAATTTTATTTGGGATACTTTTTTCAAAATGATAATTTTTTCAAAAACTGTTTCAAAATGAAATCTTAATGGGCTCAAAACTAAAAATAAAGAGAAAAAGAGGCAAATCTTTGTAGGAGAAGTTGGGCACCATTACCATCAATGCTACATCTCTTCTGCTGTGTCACAGCCATGCTCTGCTTCAAGCTGTTAACTTCTTCCTTCACGACAACTGCGACAGGGATGACGAGAAGCAAGATAACAATGGCCCCGTTGGCAATCATCTCGGCACGGGAGAACGAAACAACCTTCTCCACCACAATAGTAACCAGCAGATAACCACCGAGAGCGACGGCGAGGTACAGAAAATAATAAAAAGGCTTCGCCGAATCCCCAACGCCACTGCCACGCGGCGGCTCCATTATACGCACAGTATACACGAACAAAAGCGATACAGCGGCCGGAAGCCAAGCAACAAGCAAAACGAGAGATTTCGAATCATCACCGCCGTAGAAAGCCAAGTAAAGCTGGGTGAAAATAGCGCCGCTGAGACCAACAAAGCATTTGAGTAAGCCGAGCACGATTCCGCGGCTCTCCGGAAAATTCTTGACGGCCGTGACGAGCGCGCCGGTGTTGGCAAAAGATTGGGAATTGGCTCCGATGCAGATGTAGAGACACATCTGCCAAACGGCCGGGCGGGGGAGGCGGGCCGTGATGGAAAAGTAGATCATTAGGTATCCGAAGAGGTTCATGAAGGAGCCGAGGAGGAGAACGACGAAGGGAGGGGTGATCTCGTTGATGAGGCCGGAGAGGATGCCGACGTTTGCGCCGAGGTCTTTGAAGAAGGAGAGAGTGTTGAGGGTCTGCTGGTTGTAGTTGAGGGAGGATTTGATGTCTTTGGAGTAGATGCCGAAGATGTAGGTGGCGCCGGAGGAGGTCATGATGAGGAAGCACGCGTAGAGCATGAACCACCGGCATTTTAGGACTCGGGTGGCTAGAAGGGTGGCGTTGGTTTTGAAGCTTGGTGGCTTGGTTCTGTTGAAGGAGGTAAAAGCCATGGTAGTCTCTCCCTCGCTTTCCTCCCGTCTGGTGCGATTGGATAAGCATTTATAGGAGGAAAGCTGGGCATGCTTTGAGTGGAATGAACTATAATAACGATTAACGCATGAAGCGGCTGTAGTGGAGAAGGTCTGAGTTTCGATCTCCATTATTTTGGCCGTCCGCGTTTTTATTTATAATAATAAGTTAATAACTATATGTTTAATAATGTTTTTATTTTTTACATTTTGATAAATTTTTAACTAGGTATCATCAGCAATTAAATTATGTGATTAAAGTTTTGATTGGGACAGTTTTTTTACTACTTTTTTGCTTCTGAATGCTCTGACGCTGAAGCTCAGCTAGGGTTTTTTCCTTTCGTCTCCCCGACCTTTTTGCGGCTGTTTTTCTTCCCTTCGGGGAAGGGGCTTTTGCTCCTCTCATGGAGTCTGCCCCTTCGGACTTCCCTCCGCTCCCTTCCTCCTCCATTCTGGGTTCTGCTCCTGCCCAGATTCCTTCTTCTCCTCCTAAAACTGGTAGCTATGCTGAGAACTTGGCTGCTTCTTCAACTAAGGTGCCTCTCTTCCAGATGTCCTTTGTGTTGCCGGAGAAGAAGCTTTCTTTTAAGCCGGAAGATCTTTTGGATGGTTCCTCTTTATGGACAAACTCTTTGGTTGGGTACTCTATCGGCCAGAGACCTTATTACGAACGTCTTCTCTCTGCCATGAAAAAGGTTTGGAACCTCAAAGGTTCGATGTCTCTCCTCTCATTAGCAGATGGTTTTTTCCTGTTGAAATTTACTTCTCCCGAAGACCTTGATATGGTCTGGTCGGGAGGTCCGTGGTTCATTTTGGGGAAACCCTTCATCCTACAAAGGTGGTCTCCAAAATTTCAACCTGTTCGGGATGAATCGGCCTTCATACCTATTTGGATTAAAATCATCAATCTTCCTCTTGCTTTGTGGACTCCGGCTGGTATCTCTAGAATTGCTAGCTACGTGGGTATTCCGATTTCTGTGGATACGCTTACTGCTAATAGGACTAGACTGACTTTTGCTAGGGTCTGTGTTCAAATCAATAAGTCTTCCCCCCTACCTGAGGTTATTCCTATAGAGATTGATGGAGATGATATTGACCTTAAGGTTGTTTACGACTGGAAGCCTACTCCTTGTGAAGGGTGCGGTTCTCTTTTTCACCCCTTTTCTCTTTGTTCTTCCAGCCCAAATCCAAAGCCTTCTGTTCCCTTCACTACTCGTCCTAGAGGGCGGAGTTCTAGTAGGAATAAGTCTACTAGGATTCCTAGTTCTTCTGCTAGACCTCCTTTACCTCGTCCTTCATTTGACACTATTGCTGTCCCTCCTTCTTCCTCCCTTGCAGTGTTGCCCAACTCCTTACCCTCTTCTTCAGAGGTCCTTCTGGTAACTTCCTCCTCTACTCCGGTTAATCCTCCTCAGGATGTTTCCCACCCTGTCATAGCCACTACCTCCTCTTCTCCGGGTGGGTCTAATAAAAAGTATCTCCCCATTTCCTCTTCTGGCCCTCCTCTCCCTAATCTCAATCTCCCCACGGAATGTTCCTCTTCGTCTGATATCCCCTCTTTCTCTAATCCTCCTCCTCCCTCCCTGCCTACTTCTAATAAATTCTCTTCCTTAATTGTGGATTCCGAATGTCATGAACCAACAAATGGACTGGTGGTTGAACCGGTGGATGACTCCTCCATGCATCCGGATGGCTCCTCCTCTCCCTCCCAACGGACCTTATCCATTGAGCAAACCTCTGCCTCTACGGCCATCACTAAAGCTAAATCTAAGTCCAAATCTCCCAAAGAATCGAAGAAGGGTAAGCCTAAACCCGTCAAAAAGGCAAAAAGCACTCGTTATTAATGTCTTGCATTCCTTTTGCTGCTTGGAATGTGAGAGGGTTTAACAACCCGGACAAAGTTAGATTTTGCAAAGATCTTGTTTCTTCTTATAAGCTCAAGTTATTGTGCATTCTGGAAGCTAAAATTCAGGTCCAATCTCTCCTTGACCCGTGGTTTCTCCACCAACATAGAGTTTTTGATGTTGAAGATAGCTTTCATAACTTCTGTTTCTCCTCCCCTGGAAGAATTTGGATCAAATGGGACAAATCTTGTGTCTCGTTTTCGCCTAGCTTCACATCTGATCAACTGATTAATGGCTCTCTTTTGGTGGGTAACTCTCCTCCTATCCAATTATCTGTTATTTATGCGGCTAATAACCTTCATGATAGGAAAGTGTTGTGGGATGATCTTCGTAAAATTGTTCCTCCTTTGGACCGGCCTTGGATTATCCTTGGGGATTTTAACTCATGTAGGTTTGACTTTGAGAAGGCTGGTGGCAATCCTTCTAACCCCTCCTCCTTTGGTGAGTTGAACAACTGTATCTTTGATTGTGGGGTTCAAGATCTGGCTTCTGTTGGTACTTTCTTCACATGGTTCAATCAAAGGTCTGATAACCCTATTCATGTCAAGCTGGATAGGGTCCTGGTTAACTCTGCTCTCATTAATCGGTTCCCCTCTGCTTATTACAAGGTTGCTGCTCCGGGCTGTTCTGATCACTCCCCTCTTATTTTCTTTGACAATAACTCCTTCTCCCCTAAGGCCAGGTTTTTGTTTAAGAACTATTGGGTGAAATTTGATGTTTTTTGGAAGGATCTGTTGTTTGCCTTTGATAGACCTCAAAGGGGGAGCCCCAGCTCCTCCTTTTATTATTGTCTGAAGATTCTTAAAAATTCTATTAAGGAGGAGAATTGGGCATCTGCGGATTTTATTACCAACTCTATCAAAGATTTACAACAGCAACAGAACTCTATCATGATTGATCTTCAAACCATTCCATTATGCCCCTTGCTTAATGGTAATCTTAAAACAGTTAATGAGGCTTTATCATTTTTCCAATCTAATTGGTCCCATTGGATTAATCAAAGGGCTAAGGCTTATTGGTTAAGAAAAGGTGAAGATGATTTAGGATTCTTATATGCCAAGATCAAATCTAGAAACAATCAAAATATTATCAGGGAGATTCAAACTGATCAGGGAACCTTCTCTACTCACTCTTCTATTGCTGAAGCTGTTATCTCTCACTTCCAAAGGTTCTATTCTCCTCCTGTCTCGGGTAATTGGGAGAGGGACTCTATGCCGGTTGGAAAATGTATCCCGTCTGAGTTAGTTCCTTCCTTAACTCTTCCTTTTACTGATGTTGAGATTAAACGCACTTTCTTCTCTGGTAAAACCAAGGCTTCCCCTGGTCCTGATGGATTTACTTATGACTTTTATAAAAAGTCTTGGGTGTTGCTTGGTCCTAAAATCTGCAAGGCAGTTAGAAGTTTTTTCATTACTGGTTTTATGCCTAGAGCCACTAAAGCTACTGCTATCACACTTATTCCCAAGAACCAACATGCTTCTCATATTGCTGATTACCGTCCCATATCTCTATGTAATGTCTTTTACAAAGTGGTGGCTAAGCTGATTGCCAATAGGCTCAAGTTGGTTCTTCCTTTCATTATTCAAGATAATCAAGCGGGCTTCATTGCTAAAAGAAGCTCCTCTGATAACATCCATTTAGCTGCGGATTTGTTAAGAGAATTTAAGGATGGAAGTAATTCCTTTTGTGCTAAACTGGATATTAAAAAGGCATTTGACTCTCTCTCTAGAGATTTTCTCCTTCATAGGATGAAACTTATTGGTTTTCCCGACATTTTTATCAAGTGGATTAAGGGGTGTATTGAGGATGTCTTCTTCTCTATTTGTATCAATGGATCCCTTGAGGGGTTTTTCCCCTCCACCTCCGGCCTCAGACAGGGATGCCCCCTCTCCCCCTTATTATTTTGCATAGCCATGGATGCTCTTTCCACCTCTCTTGCTCCTTCTAGATTCATGGGCATTAGTTGTAATGGCTTGGTCATTAATCACCTAATGTATGCTGATGATTTACTTGTTTTTGGTAAAGCTGATGAGGATAATGTTAGGTCGTTGAAAGAGATTTTACATCTTTTTGGGCAAGCTTCTAACTTGAATATCAATCCCAATAAAAGCTCTATAATGTTTTCTAGAGATGCCACCTCTACTAGCTTTTTGGCTGATCTTCTGGGTATTCATCAGGCTGCCACGTCTCTCACTTATTTAGGGCTTCCTATTTCTATTAAGAGACTTTCTTACAGCCATTTCCTTCCTCTTATGAACAGGATTACCTGTCTTTTTGAGGGATGGAAGATCAAATTTCTCTCCTTTGCTGGACGGTTACAATTTTTGAAATTTACTATTGACAATACGATTGCCTATTGGATTCGTGGGTCCATAATACCTAAAGCTTGCCGTGTGTTTATTTCTAAAATCTGTGCTAAATTTCTCTTACATGGCAATATCAATGAGAGGAAGCTTCACCTCATTGCTTGGAAAAACATTACCAAGCCTAAGACTTGTGGTGGACTTGGCATTCTTTCCTTTGAGGCTTATTATTTTGCTGTGGCTTGCACTTTTATTTGGAATTGGTACCATAATTCATCTTTAGCTACTTCCTGGTTTAAAGCTAAGTATGAATCCCCTTTCAAACCTCCTAATTCTGCTTCTTCTAAATTCTGGAAAGAAATCTGTATGGTTGCCTACAAGATTAAGTCTAAGATTTCTTTTTCTATTGATCGGAACTGTAATTTTTCATTTTTGTGGGATCCATGGTTAAATGGCTACCTGTTAGGGGAGGTTTTTAATGACACCAGGCTGAGTTTTAAGGAGGTTTCTACTTTTACTATTTCTGGGAGTTGGGTTTTACCTTCTTATATGCCCCCTGTTATTTCTGATTTGATTGGGTCTATTGCTATTGGTTGGAATTCTTCTATTACCTGGGATGGTCTGGCTGCTCCTAGTTTCAAAACTTTTTCTGGTATTTTCTACTCTAATCTGGAGGAGGTCTATTGGCATAGATTCATTTGGCATAAGTATGGTTCTCTTAAATTTGACTGTTTTGCCTGGATGGCCTTATTGGGGAAGCTTAAATGTGCTGATGTTTTGCTGAAAAGGGGCTTACAGGTTAATCCTAAATGTT